GGTTCTCATTTCCGCTCTGACCACCTAGGCAATTGGAAGTGGAAGCTGCCCCCCCCCCCGCCATAGTCTTCTGGGACACGCGACAGGTCCCAGAAGACTACGGGACCGCAAGCTGTCACAGCCCGGTGCCCACACTTAAGGTGCCAGGGAGAGAGAGGGCAGCTGGTGAACCAGGCTGGTGTGAACACACTGCTGGATCCTTGGATAGGTAAGAGGCTTTTTTTTTTTTTTTTCAAACTCAGCTGCTACAGTTTTTATAGCTGCTCGCTTTTATTTTCTCAAGTGAGACAGGCGCATCAGCATTTACACTTTTTTTCTTATCCCACCTGCAAAGTCCCACAAATACTTGTTGATCCTACAAGTGAGGCCCACCTATTGTTTCCCATTAAAATGATTAACTGGTAAAATCACTGGACAAGGGGAATAAAAGAAAATCTAAATATTTCCAGATCAGTTTCAGCAATTATAGACAAAGAAACATTATAGTTTTTTTATAATGAGATAAAGCAATTTGACCAATAGAACACACAATGAATACTTTGGAGTTAGTTGTAAAAGAAGCACACCAAAAAAAACACAGCAATTATTTATTTCAGGTACTTATATAGCGCTGTCAATTTACACAGCGCTTTTTTGATAGATAGACAGATAGATAGAGATATATATATATATATATATTTTATTATATAAATATATATCTATAGCTCATCAGTCTCTCTAGGTGAGTAAGTAGCAGCTGGAATGTGCTTTGCAGAGCCATCCCAAGCAGTGTGCACACGCTAACAGGGAAGAAGACTGTTTGTAAACAAAACAGTCTTCCTCCCCATCGGAGACTGTTGGTAATCAGCGAGTGCCGGGCAGTGATTGACATCCGTGGCTGCGAATGGCGGCGCACGTGCGCCCCCTACCCGGAGGTGCAAAATCACGTATATATACGTGATTTTGTGCACCCGTGCCACCGTGTAGCAGTAGATCTGCTATACGGTGGCAGGTCAGTGGTTATTGATCTCTAACAAACCATTGCAGGCTTCACAGAACAGCTGTATTTATACTGAGATTAAATTACACACAGGTGGACTCTATTTACTAATTAGGTGACTTTTGAAGGCAATTGGTTCCACTAGATTTTAGTTAGGGGTATCAGAGTAAAGGGGGCTGAATACATATACATGCCACACTTTTCAGACATTTATTTGTAAAACATTTTGAAAACCATTGATCAGTTTCCCTCCACTTCACAATTATGTGCAACTTTGTGCTGGTTATCACATAAAATCCCAATAAAATACATTTACATATAACAAAATGTAGAAAATTTCAAGGGGTATGAATACTTTTTCAAGACACTGTAGCATGTCATTGTTGCTTTAAAGTGGAATTCCAGGCACCACCTAACTAATCTTAAAAATGCTCCCGCCTCCTAACACCTATTCTGACTAACCCGTGTCAGAAAAATCTGCATGTTTGTCTATTTCCAGGCTGCACTACCTTAAAAGTATGTTTATTGAATTTTTAAAAAAATAAGTATTCTACTCACAATAAATAAAAGGAACATCATGAAGGAACAGCTCTGTCCAATTCGCACTGCGTATCTGTCTTATGATGAGAATTTTGATGCGTTTCGAGGGCTAGCCTCTTCCTCAGAACCAACACAGAAAGCACCAACAAGTTGGCCATTGAAGCCTATGGGTGACGTCCCAGCTCCATGCTTTACTGGCTATTGTCAGAGCGCTCCCTCCTCTCCCCTGCAGCCAGTGCTGGCTGACACAGGGGAGGTCCCATGACTGGACCACAGTGGCCTGCAAAGAGGCAAGTGTACAGGTTTTTCTTACACAGGTTAGTGAGAGTAGGATGTCAGGAGGGGGGGAGGAGGGAGTATTTTTAAGATTACTTGTTTGTGCTCGGGATTCCACTATAAGATATGCACAGTAGTGTGGTTTGTGGCCAATCAAAATAAACTGCACCATAGCAAACTGATCTATTCTGTGTTTTGTAAGTGCAGGTAAAAGTAGGGTTTCTTTAAAGCAGAAGATGAAATGATTCACTGCTTAGTCACACTGCATTGCATGCAATGGCTAGTTGCTGTTTTGCAACACAGAAAAGCAAGACATATCTGTATACAGTTTTTTTTCCGCCCACATGCAATTTTTTTTTATGGAAAATAATGTTTAATCTAAACACATCAAAAGGCAGACAAATAGCAATCTACCTTGGATAACATTGTGTTTTGCATAGTCCTATTTGTGCTAGTGTTTTACCTGTAATGAGCATAAACTATTCCCCAATGCCTTCATGTGCCTCAGGCTGCAGAAACCAGCAGCAAACAGTGCAAATGGCAAGGAACGTGTACAAATGTAAGCAGAAGGTGAATGCAGAGCATGTACCTGCTAACTTCCAAATAAAATCAGACGACTGGCCTTATACTTCAGTAGTATACTGTATATGGCAAAAACCCAAACTTGGCTTGGCTTCTAGACCTATCCTAACCAGGAACACAACTGCTGGGCACATTTTGCCCAAGTCAGTTCCATGGCTTGTGATTCAACAGTAGAAGCGATTGGTAAATTCCTAAGGGGGAAAAGGAGCAGGAATTCTAGGTCACATTCCAGCTGCTACTTACTCACCTATCAAATTTCAGAAACAAAGGCCAACAGGAACTTTATTACAATGTGTCATTCAAGGGTAAGGGTTTTACTGAGAAACAATGATGAAAGAAATGTACAATTACTGCACCATTTGTATCTTTCGAATGTTAATTTTATTAACGGTAGCATTGTTTTCTCCAAGTCCATGTGCTTCAAAGTCGCACTCCAGGCAAAAGAGTGTAGATGGGGAAATCGATTGAATTTCTCTTATTCAGCCCACATGCTAAAAAGGAAAAGAATTAAGCGGTCTGTGGCCAGTCTACAGCCCTGATCAGACTGCCCCAATCTCTCCCCTTTGCAATGCAAGTCTGAGGATACTTGTGATGGGGAGGTATGGTCACTGTTCATCTATGTCAGCATACAGCACTGGTGTAGGAGGGCACAAAAACGCTGGATACATAGGACTCTATAGGCAGCTTGTATTGTTTGGAAAAAGGGTCCGTGCACCCTGGGCTTTACAAAAAAGCTAATGCCTTTGACAGAAAAAAAAAAAAAATTCTAATTTTGAACATTTTTTTTCCCCTAGTGTTCAGGAAAAATGCAATCAAAAATGCAAAATGCTGAGCCTAAAGTACATCTCTAAACGTCCTAATGTGCTTCTACTGGCAAAACTGTAATGTTTTCCAAGTCAGTGTGCATTATTATTATTATACAGTATTTATAAAGCACCAATAGTTTGCTCAGCGCTGTACATTACAAAGGGGGACAGAACATGTGACAGAGCAATACCAATACAATGCAAAACATGAGGGGATTGAGGGCCCTGCTCTTTTGAGCTTACAATCTAGGAGGGAGGGGATGGTGGCACAGGAGGAGATAGCTGTGGGGGATGGAGTGGTAGGAAGAGTGGAGGAGGTCGGCAAGTTAGCAGGGGGTGGGGTAGGCTTCCCTGAAGAGGTGGGTTTTCAGCGTGCGCCTAAAGGAAAGGAGAGTAGGTGATAATCTGATGGGTTGGGGCAGGGAGTTCCAGAGGATGGGTGACACCCTGGAGAAGTCCTGGGCGGGCATGGGAGGAGGAGACCAGGGAACTAGAGAGAAGGAGGTCTTGTGAGGAGCGGAGTGTGCGTGCTGGGTGGTACTTGGATATTAGGTCGTGATGTAGTTCGGGGCAGTGTGGTGGACGGGTTTGTACGTCAGTGTTAGGATTTTGAATTTGATCCGTTGCGCAATCGGAAGCCAGTGGAGGGATTGGCAGAGGGGGGTGGCGGAGACGGAGCAGTTGGAAAGGTGAACGAGTCTGGCAGCCGAATTCAGGATGGACTGAAGCGGGGATAGCCAGCAGCGAGGCAGGCCAGTAAGGAGGGAGTTGCAGTAGTCGAGTCGTGATACAATGAGGGAGTGGATGAGCTGTTTAGTGGTTTCTGGGGTTAGGAACGTGCGTATTTTTGGCGATGTTGCGGAGGTGGAGTCTGCATGAGTTTGTTAAAGATTGGACTTGGGGCAGGAAGGATAGGTTGGAGTCCATAATGACACCAAGTACTCTGGCCTGCGGGGCGGGTTTGATGGTGGCGTTGTTGGATGTGATGGAGAAGTCAATGGGGGGTGGTGTCCGGGCTGGGGGAAAGACAAGAAACTCGGTTTTGGATAGGTTCAGTTAAAGGAAGTGGAGCCTAACCAGGAAAAGATTGATTTAAGTGCATTAAAAAAAAAAAAAATCAAGCAAAATTTGTGAAAGGATTAGTCCTTCAGAAAAGTATCTAAGGTAGGTTTACAGACTTGTCTGTCCCTATTTGTAGAAAGCCAAAAAGGTGTCAGTTTGCAAAGTTCAACAACATTTATTAGGGAAGATAAGAGAGATTTTCACTTTAAGATCTCATGGATGCTGAGCATTAACCTCCCTAGCGGTCTGATTCTGTCAGTATTTCTGTGCTCAAAGCGGTACATTTTTTTGCATGGAAATATGTATTTTTTTTATTGTAGGCCTGTAATTTTTAGGAATAACTCACTGAAATCTGTCCGAACAAGAGTCTAGTAAACATCCCGGGTATGTTAAAATTTGAAACACGAAATCATAAATTATAATTTAATAAGTAATAATAAAAAATAATATAATAATAAATTTAATTAAATAATATAATCAAACCAAAAACTGAAATTTGAAATAGAGCGCCAAGTTCGCACATCACTGAGCAAAGTCACAAAATCGTTTTCAGTGTCTGATGACGAATTTCCCCACGAATCATTATCACTCAATTCTGCAAGTGGTTCTAATTTACTATCGCTGTTCTCTAGCTGGTCTAAAACCGCTTTTGACCTAAAGGGACGCTTTTTGGACACCATGGACGTTTCTCAGTTTCCAGGCAGAAAGAACAGTAAAAATGCAGGCAGGGCACAGGACAAAGCACTCGGGACAAAATGTATGTGAAATGGTTTGATACAGTAATGTTATACTATGTGATTTTAGTGAATGTCACTTTTTGTCATTTCCAAATTTCCCGCCGTTCCGTCCCCCGTACTTCCCGACGCTCGCAGGGGACGGAACCCAGATGACAGATGCCGGCATCCACCGGAGAACATTACAGGGGACACTGCAGGAGGGACATCGCAGGAGGGACATCGCGGGAGCGCAGGAAAAGGTAAGAGAAGAACAGATCCCAAAGCAACGCTACAGGGTATTCCCGAGTGTGGCTCAGGGTTACTGCTTCTGATACTGAAACTTTACCCCGAGCTACACTCAGGAATACCGCCAGGGAGGCTATACACGCTGCTTCTTCCAGGGGCATCAGTTTTTTTTTTTGCTACTAAACTCCCCCTCCATGTTAGCCTATGTGTTCATGCATTCATTAGGTACTTAAAAGCGGAGTTCCACCCAAAAGGGGAAGCTCTGCTTTAAAGATTGGTCCCCTGCTCCCCATTAAGGATTGGCACCTTTGGGGAGCGGGTGGTTGTACCCGAATTTGACAGGTAACCACTCCCACTACGATCGCCTAGGCGATCGGAAGTGGAAGTTGTCCTCCTACCCTCCCTCCCCGAAGTCTTGTGGGACACGTGACAGGTCCCAGAAGACGACGGGGCCATTCAGGAAGTGCAGCGTGGAATACAGGACGGCTGATGAAATGGGCTACGGAGGGGGCACTGCGGGATCGTGGGATAGGTGAGCGGTTGTTTTTTTTTAAAAGTCAGCAGCTACAGTTTTTGTAGCTGCTGGCTTTTATTTTTTTACAGAGTGAGTGGAACTCCGCTTTAAGAGGCCAAAAACCCACTACCAGCACAGCCAGGAGCAGCAGCGTTTGGCAGAAAAAAATGCGTTTTGCCTGTAAAGATACCTTAATGCTAGGCGTGTCAAGCACCTGAGCATTACTTCAATAATAAATTATTATTCTGTCCAATGAAATGTATTAATGCCCAAGTGCTTGACATGCCTACACACATCTAGATGAGCTTACACATGTACACAAGCGGTTTTTTTTTTTCCTGCCAAAACGCTGCTGCCAGGAAGAAAGACATTTAGGAGAGCTGGGCCAAAGCCCTGTGTGCATCAGGCCATCTTAGGAAGAGGAAATGGCTGTGATTGGGAGGGGGGACGTGCCAGAGGCAGGCTGTGATTGGGAAGGGAGGGGGTGCGTGCCAGAGGCAGGCTGTTATTGGCGGTGTTAGGGAGGTGGGGGTGCGTGCCAGAGGCAGGCTGTGATTGGGAGGGGGTGTGTGCCAAAGGCAAGCTGTGATTGAGAGGGGGGTGTGGTGGCTGAACAAACTAGCCAACACAGGCATGCTGAATGTCTGCACAGTGCCCTCCCAGTACCCCTGAATGGCCAGCCAAAGGATAAAAATTGACTACACCAACACAGATCAGCTTCTATGCTATGTGTGGTCAGTTTACAACTAGGAAGAAAGGTAACTGGCAGGATTAACCATGTACTTCAGATGGTACAATGACTATGACTTATAAAATACGCATATGTGAATACACAAAAAATATTTACAGTAACATACACTTTACCCCTTTGAGGACAGACTGTACACATCCAATTTGTCAGCACAGTGAAAATACACTAACATATGTTGCAATGATTACGTGTGAATGGGCACTTAGTCTCAGGGTTTTTTTCCCCTTTGTCTTCTGGCTCATATGGGAGGGACTTAAACTGTTTACTGCAATAAAGTAATACTTTACTGATTAACAGAGTTGCAGTGGAATGCCAGTTTAACATTCTACAACCAGCTTTACTATCAGGGTTAATATTTGAAAATTTCCTTAACATTTAAGAGGTCCTTGAGACGCTACATCCTCCAAATGCACAACTTATGAACTCAAATCCAATACATGATCTCCATAGTGTAACTGCCACAACTTTGCCAAACTATATGAAGGAAGAACAGTCCATGTTATGTGTAGAGACACTGTTACATTGACACTGCCTCCCCATTATCATATACTTCTCTCTTCTTACCAGCATTCTCAAGCTGTTCCTTCTTCATCCATAGCCCAGAGGAATACCCAGCACTTTCAGAAGCTTGTGACCTACTCCCCTTTTATAGTGCTCAGGTCTAGCAGCCAATCGCTAAGTCTAAACTATAACATGACTGAGGTAGTGATGCCATGGTTCCCCACAAGTCATTTCAGTACAATGAACAAACAAGCTGGCCACACTCCAATGACAGCAGCTTTATTGTACCAGGACAGGATCACCAAAGAGTTGGCCCAGACAAAGCCTCACTCATGATTTCACCCAAAAGTCTGCTAAGGTGGGTATAGGTGTGGGGTTGGGGGGGGGGGGGATGGGGCCTTTGCAGAGATGGACAAAGTGACAAAGTCTTTTTAAAGAGAGGGATTTTATCAAGCAAATTACCAAGGGGATCATGCACCTTAGTATAAATCAGACTGGGAGCATTCCCTGTATGCCCGCTTTGCATTGGCTTGCTGCACTGCAAAACTGACAACTCTTTCCCAACATTCTTTTATTCTCCCTGTAAGACGTGGTAGAATGAAAGAAACAACTGTGTTCATGAGGACTACCAGTATAATGAATTGTTCAGACCCTTTTCTGAATAAGGCAACTCCTGCTAGGAATACTAATGAATTGTAACAGTGGACACCCTTACCACCCCCCACCCCAATAATTGCTCTACTTACCACTGGGGTTGCCAAACTGAAAGCACCCCCGCAGCAATTTCAGCGTTCTGATTATTTGAAAACCCCGCTATTCTCCCTCTTCTCCATCAGCACTTCCAGGTTAGACCTGATGGTGCTGACCAATCAGAATCTATCAATGTGACGGCTCACAAAGGGAATGCAAACTATTCATATACAATATATCATATTTACTAGACTAAAGCAATATTTTTAAAATGTTGATTAAATTGTACCTATGGTGAAAATTCAAAAATATATTAATTTCTACCTTGCATTTCAAATATTTCTAGCCGACACTTATCAAGCTGAACAATTTAAGTCTGAAAAATGCAGTGACACAATCATTATGCTTTTGAATATGTATGGCTGTGTCACAGATTTCACAGAGGGTGCCCTCTGAGATATAGATGTGCTGGGAGGAGGAGGAGTTTTAGGAGGCGGAGTCACTACAGGAAACACACCACATCATCACTACTTCCAAGCAGTAAGGTACCATATGTGATCTTTAGAAATCAAAAGTAAATGAAAAGGAATCAGCAGAGGAGCAACTGAAAAAGCATGGATGGGAATCCAGGAAATTGTTGAAGAAGATGGCCAACAGACAGACAGCACTCACAATATTAAGGAGTAAGCTGATACTGGATTGCAAAAATTGTATTGCTATTGTATGCATTGCTATTAAAATGCTGATATTAAACGTTCAAGTGTATCCTATGGCAATAGATCTCCTTTACATCCTTATAATAAAGAAGGCATGCAGAAAAACAACACATTGCCTTGTAACTGACTGGCCTCCTATCCAACGTAAACAGAGCCAGGGGTGGACTGACACATTAGGAAATCAATACATTATTTATGGAGAGTAGTTGCACCTGCACTGACACAAAGATACGGTAGGTTTTCAAGTGGTGACGCTAGGTCTACTTTTAAAATACAGTTGCAAGAAAAAGTATGTGAACCCCTTGGGATTACGTGGAGTTTTGCATGAATTGGGCATAAAATGTGCTCTGAACGCCATCGAAGTCACAACAATAGAAGAACACAGTCTGCTGAACATAATACTACACAAACATTAGATGTTGCCATGGTTTAATTGCACATAAAATGTAAACATTCACAGTGCAGGGAGGAAAAAGTATGTGAGGCCCTAGCTTAATGACTTCTCCCAGAGCTAATTGGAGCCAGGAGTGAGCCAACCTTGACTCCAATCAGTGTGATGATATTGGATGTGTTGCTAACAGCTGTCCTGCCCTTAAAAAACACACACCTGTTTTGGGTTTACTGGTTTCAAGAAGCACTGTCTGATGTGAACCATGCCTCGCAGAAAAGAGCTCTCAGAAGACCTACGATCAAGAATTGTTGACTTGTGTTCTTCTATTGTTGTGACTTAGATGACGTTCAGAGCACATTTTATGCCCAATTCATGCAAAACTGCAACTGTACATAGAGGGGATTTGATCAAAACTGGAGCAGCCAAATTCAGGAGCATCAGAATCAGCATCTACAGTCAGGTCCATAAATATTGGGACATCAACAAAATTCTAACATTTTTGGCTCTATACACCACCACAATGGATTTGAAATGAAACGAACAAGATGTGCTTTAACTGCAGACTGTCAGATTTAATTGGAGGGTATTTACATCCAAATCAGGTGAACGGTGTAGGAATTACAACAGTTTGCATATGTGCCTCCCACTTGTTAAGGGACCAAAAGTAATGGGACAATTGGCTTCTCAGCTGTTCCATGGCCAGGTGTGTGTTATTCCCTCATTATCCCAATTACAATGAGCAGATAAAAGGTCCAGAGTTCATTTCAAGTGTGCTATTTGCATTTGGAATCTGTTGCTGTCAATTCTCAAGATGAGATCCAAAGAGCTGTCACTATCAGAGAAGCAAGCCATCATTAGACTGAAAAAACAAAACAAACCCATCAGAGAGATAGCAAAAACATTAGGCGTGGCCAAAACAAACTGTTTGGAACATTCTTAAAAAGAAGGAACGCACCTGTGAGCTCAGCAACACCAAAAAAGACCTGGAAGACCATGGAAAACAACTGTGGTGGATGACCGAAGAATTCTTTCCCTGGTGAAGAAAACACCCTTCACAACAGTTGGCCAGATCAAGAACACTCTCCAGGAGGTAGGTGTATGTGTGTCAAAGTCAACAATCAAGAGAAGACTTCACCAGAGTGAATACAGAGGGTTCACCACAAGATGTAAACCATTGGTGAGCCTCAAAAAAACAGAAAGGCCAGATTAGAGTTTGCCAAACGACATTTAAAAAAGCCGTCACAGTTCTGGAACAACTTCCTATGGACAGATGAGACC